TCACAGGTAACTAGTTTATTGGTATGCCGTGTGTGGCAATAGGCCATCGCAGCACACTAATCATGATTCTTTATTGATTTGTCTCTAAAAAAACAAGAAGGCCTTTTTTTCATAAATATAGATAGGTCAAAAAATAATGTCTATGCCGTGTGAGATTTTGGAATCTTCGCAGGCATAAAATAAATTAATTTTTATGTGAGACTTTTTGTGAATCTCTACAGAAATTTCAATCTATTTTCTTTTTTTTTAAAAAATCCTTTATCAAATAAGGGAATAAGTTTTTTTAATTAAAAGATATCAATCTAATTAATTTTTTAAAATAAAAAATTATTTTTCAAAAAATACTAACAAACTGACACGTATTTTTACCCTCAAATTACATGAGTTTTGATCCCTCTAAAGGGTACATAGGCCTTAGGATTTTATCCCAGGTCAAGTCTGACTTATAAATAAATAATTTTTTTAATTATAATTTTCTTCTTTTTTCCTTTTTTATTAATTAAGGGCAATTAAATTTCATTTAGGGCCATATTAATTTTGCTTAGTCAATTTAAAATAGCCGTTCTCACAAATGGATATTGTGGGGTACCTAACACCTTTCTTACACACAACTAACTCTCAAACCCTATTCTAGTTATTATAGACTATTTTATTTTTTTAAAAGGTTTCTAAAATTATCCTTTTAAAATTTTGGTGACGACTCCTATATTTATTAATTTCCTTTTCTTGGGAGATGATGATCTAGGCATGACAATATTTAACTTGTAATTTAAAAAATTAAAAATGTTTATATATTTTAATTTTTAATATCATATTTATCAAAATTAAAATTCATAAAAATTATTAAAAATTAAATTAAATTTAAACAGTGCAAAGTATATTTGGATAGTCAACATATAATGATTATAAAATTTTCAATATTAAATTAGACTCTTTAAATTAAATTTAGACTAGATTTATGATTAATTTTTTTTATGATTTTTATAGAAATGAAGAGATTAGAGCCATAAATGGAGTGATTCATCCAACATTTAGATATGCTTGTTTTGCTCTCAATCTACTAGATAGAGTTCATTTGTGCACTAAGGGAGTCATCAATTTGGGCACCTAGAGTTTGTTTGCATAGGATGTTTGTTAGTATGATTTTGTGCACTTGTCTTGGCCATTCAAAATTTATTTGGAGGGAAACTTTAAGAATACTCTCTGAAGATTTGCTACATATGTCATGTAATGACTCAATAATATTAGGTGAGGGATTGAATTATATGCCAATCTCTTATTTTTATTTTTTTTTTTTTCAAATTTGGTATATTGTATTAACATTATAGTTGCAAATTTTGCCAAGTGTTGATATTCCTTATTGTGACAAGGAGGAGGTGGCCCTTTGAGAGATAGAGCAACATTAATGGAATGGAAAGTGCCTTTGTGACTTTCCCTCTCTTCCTCTTCCTTCAGGGAGGCTCATAGTTGATGTGATGAATCGTTTAATATTATAGGAGTCATCCTATGATCTCATTAAACTCAAGCAAGACGTTGGTCAATTGTTAGATCAATTAACTACTAAGAGTAGATGTAACTTTGACACTATGTTGAAGTCGTTGTCTGTGTTATGTAAGGGCTTTTATTTTATTTATGGTTAAAGAGGCACGGACAAACTTTTTTGTGGAATGTGTTAACATCAACTATCTATGCAAATGAGGAAATTGTGCACACAATTAAATCAAATAGCATTGCAACATCCTACCCTTAAGGAGAACAACTCATTTAAGGTTTGTGTCCTAATTAAACAGAATGAGGACTATGTTTGTTCTATTAGACAAAACTCTCCTTTAGCCCAATTAATCCATGTGACAAGGTTTGTCATATGGGATGAAGCTCTTGTGGTGCATTGGTATTACACTGAAGCATTTGATCACACCCTTGTTATGTATAGTGATCAACCCTTTAGAGGAAAGTGTTTTGATGGGTGAAGATTTTTGCCAAATTCTTTCTATAATCCCTAAAGGAACTTGAGCAACCATTATGAATGCATACATTAGCATCCTACTTGTGGGAATATTGCAATGTTTCCAACTAACTAAGAACATGTGCTTGACATCATCTTTATCAACAAATGATGCAGATTAGATTGAAAAATTTTCCAATTAGCTCTTAGGCATGGGTGAAGGCAAACTTGGCATGCCAAACTATGGTATAGCTGGAATTGAGATTCCCTTTGAGTTCCTAATAACTGATTATATTGACCCATTGACTACAATTGTATAATCTACTTATCCAAATCTCTTAAATAACTTAACAAATACTAAATATTTCAATGATAACACAATCCATGCACCCACGATTGAGTGTTAACAAATTTAATGATTTAATGTGTTCATTGCTAGCAGGAGAGACAATTAGCTATTTAAATTGTGACTTAGTTTGCAAATCAACACAGGATGTTAATTGTTTTGAGGATTTGTACACAATAGAATTTTTCAACATGATTAATAGTTTGGGTTTACTGACACACCATCTTTTGTTAAAGGTTGGAGCACCTATTATGCTTTTGAAAAATGTTGATCAATTATTAGGATTATGTAATAAAACTCGATTACATGTTACCAAGCTTGACAAAATAGTGATTGAAGTGATACTTTTGAATGGCTTAGGACTAGATCAAAAAGTGTTGATTCATTGCATTGACATGAATGTTTGAGAGACGAGATGGCCGGTTTGTATGTAGAGAAAGCAATTTCCTTGACATCAATCATTAAGTCATGTGGGATTATACTTGCTCTCTCAAGGGTATGAAGTATGGATGGCCTAAAAATCCTTTTACATGACAATAAGAATAAGCCACATTCCATGACTACAAATGTTGTTTATAGAAAAATCTTTAGGAACTTGGGTGAGGGGTGTCAATAAATTGTATGGACAGTGTATCTTTTTGTTTGTTTGTTGCATTAACAAAATTCCAAAATTGAATCCATGGAAGCAGATGCTCAGTTGCAGTACATATTAATATTAATTCTTTTTATAGTTTTTATATATTTCTTTTGATAAATAGAATATTAAAATTATCTTTAAAAATAATTTAAAATTAATGACAACGATCATTTGAGATGAGATGAAAGGCCAATATCACTTTATGTGGTAATGAAGATGTAGTGTTGATTAGTCATGATGAGTACTGAATTTGAATTCTTTTCTACCTCAACATATGGTACTTTGTAAAAAAGACAAAAAAATTTCTTCTTAATTTTACAATAAGGATAGGAAGTATTATCATTTAAGATAGAATTATTAATATAATGAGTTAGATTTAGTGAAGAAATTAATCTTTCATGTAATAATAAATGTTTGAATTTTTGTCAGGTTCACGTTCAATAGTGTCTTCAAACAAAAAAAAAAAATGGTGTACGAGCGATAAAGAAATAGGATGGGATTATTAGATGTCAATTTTTTAATGAGTTGTGGGGCTTGCAAGAGCACGTGGCAGGTGAACGACTGGGAGTTTTGAGTGGGCATTAAGCAATTGAGGGTGTGCGGCCAGGGGGTCGGTGATGTCTTCGTCACACACAAAAAGGCCTCGCAGCAACTTATCTGGCAATTCATTCGGTGTGACACATAAGCAAGGCATGCTATCAATTGATTTAGTCACATTAACAGTTAGATTAATTAAGAGATTAAATTACAATTTCACATGTCAAATCTTAAATCATAAATATGATAAATCATATATATGATTAAATTAAATTAATATAAATCAATTTCATTATTCATATCCAATTTGATCTTGTTATTGACGTATTATTATTGCATAAATAAAGTTTTCCCTAAATTTTCATTGAAATTTTAAAAAAGTTTATATCATTTATCATTTAACAAAATTTTATATTTATATTATATTAATATTGATGTAATATTACATAAATTTCTCCTAAAATTCCATAAAAATCTAAAGGAAGGTTATATCATTTATCACTTATTTTATTAACTACACAAAAAAAGTTATTAATGGTTTTTAAGATATGAAGAGATATTTATGTATGGTTATAAAAATTTTAAAAATATTTAGTTTAGTTTTGGAAACAAAAAAATGTCCATAATTGTAATAAACTTTGAGACAAATAACTGTAATTCATTCTTGTTAAAATAAAAAACAAATTCAAAATCAACTGTGTTATCCAATAATGTTGCAGATTTGCTATAAGATTAAGATGATGTCGTCTATCAAGTTCAAACACTATTTTTATCTTCTATTCAAATTTTAATTCTACATATTTATATAATTTATATAATACTATAACTATATTACTCAATAAGTTATAAATGGTACAAATTCAGTTTATATTTCATATAAGGTAAATGCTAATGTTGAAAAAAAAAACACCAACCGTTAATAATATTATAAGATGTTTCTTTTAAAAAAATCATATTAAAAAATATATGATATTTCAAATATTTTAATATACAATTAATAAGAATTTTTAAAAATATTTTTAATTAGTGGTGTAATTAATAAAATTTTATAATTGAGATATTTTATTAAATAAAACTAAATATAAAAAACAATGTGTGATTTTAAAAATAATTAAATAATTAAAATTTTTTTATATTATTTTTTTAAAAAATGCCTTATAATAGCAAGAGTATGTTCACTATCTGGCATCCCTAAAATTGTAGTAGTAAATTCTTATCAAAAGTTCTTTTAGAAAATTTAGACAAAATATATGAAATTTATCATTTATTTCTAGAGAAGATTACGTGTGTTTGAAAATAAAAGAGGTATCTACTTTTTCTATTAAAAAAAAAAAGAGGCATCTTGTTTAATTTGAATTCATTTAAATTTTTAAGAGAATAAATGTAATTTTTTATTTTAATTGAATTTTTTTTAATTATAGTTAAAAATAAATAAAGCGAGCGAAGAGGTCTCACTGAAAACGCCCGCTATTCGATTCGATTGTTGATCTCCTGAAAAACCTACCTTCTTTTGACCACTCCTTTAAGCCCTTAAACACTGTTCTGTTGTTACCCCGACGCTTTCCTTTCTCTCTCTAGTTTCTCTCTCCTACGAAATCATCCGATTTGGCTTCGCTTTCTCTTTCTTCCCCCTCTCCTCTCCTCTCTTTTCTTTCTTTTCCTTTTTTTCCCTTACCCTTTTTTATCTATCAACCCCTTCGTCTCGCACTGCCATGACGACCCAATAAAACCCTAAATCCACTACACTTCACTGTATAGGTTCTTCCTTCAAGACTTCCTTTCGTTTTCTTATTGGGTGTGTATTTATGGGTTGATGATAATTGATGGGTTTGAGTTGTTGAGGGGTTATTTTTCATAATATTGTGGATCTGTTTGTTTTATTGCAGGGAAAAATTGAAAGAGAGGAGTTTGTTTCGTTCTTGTCTTCTTTATTTTTCTGGGTTTTCTTGTTGTGCCTGTTGAGCAATTAAGAGTTGGGATATATGTCCTTCAATCAATCAAGGTCCGATAAGAGCGACAATCATTACCGTAAATCCTGGAGATCAGGGAGCTTCAATCAGCAGCGAGGTTCCTCAGGCACGCACGTTAAGGGTGGTGGCGGCGGGGCCGCGCCTTCTGCCGTGATCACTTCGGGTTCCTCACAGCCCTCTAATCGGAGGTACGTTAGGGTCTGCGAGTTTTATTTTCTTGTCTTTGTTGTTGGATTGGCGAGCATTGTGGGAATGTGAGGGGTGTAATTTTTACGGTTCTATGCAGAATTGATTTTTTTTTTTTTTACTTTGAGGAATGTGTCAGATTGGGGAAACTGGGATTCTGTGATTTGAGGACAAAAGGATTTGTGTGTTCTATCGTCATAGTCAGTGTACTTCTCCTGTTTTATTAACTCTTTTTCTTGCTTGTTCTAGTTTTAAGAGGTCTAACAATTCACATGGTGGGCAATCTAGGGTAAACCCTCCCCCTGTAAATTCAGCCGAGTCTAATGGTGCTTCTACAGGCCGGACGATACCAAATGGTGCCCATTCACAACAATCACCTGGTATGTGACATTTTCTTGTAATTTTTTTTCTTGGTGGGGAAACGTTAGTTTTGTTCTGCCTTGCGTTTATTGTTTGGTTATGTTATCTGGTGGAATTATGTGCATGAATGCATGCGTTGGCCTTACTGTAAAAGATCCTTCTGAGGGTCAAAAGCCACTGAATAATTTTATATCAGCAAGTGAGTGTTTTGTATATTATGATTGTGAACATTCTTTATGGACTTAAATCATGTGGTGTAACAGGAGCATCTGATGCGCCAGTTACGAATGCAGTTGCCAAGTCATCTGAGCCCTCATCCATACAGAAGAGCACCAGAGTTGTTCCGAAAGCTCCAACCCCTGGACCTTCCACCGTGAATTCTGATGCAGCAGCTCCTACGACCCCTGCCAAGGGTATGTTACTGCTGTTTGCTTTGTTATCAATACATAAGACGAGGAAGAAATCCTAATATGCATGACTTGTTGCTTGGAAAAGTTAAAATTTATTTACTTTTCTCACTTATGCCTTGTAAGGATGGGCTAATTGACTTATGATATTAATTTTTTTTATTGTAATTAATGCAGCCCCTGAAGATTCATCCAAGCCATTTGCTTTCCAATTTGGATCCATTAGTCCCGGTTTCATGAATGGGATTTCTGTAGGTTTCTTATCTGTTATTTCTGAAAGTGTGAAGTATTTGTATTTACATATCATGTTGCTGAGATTTTTAGTCCCCACATATTCAATCGTGTTCATTTTATGGTAACTAGATTCCTGCTCGCACAAGCTCAGCTCCTCCAAATTTGGACGAACAGAAAAGAGATCAGGTATGCAGGTTTATTCTTTTTCCATGCAATCCCTTGTATGTTTGTGTTACAATATGGTTTTACTGCTACTGCAAACTCCTTGAGAAGGAAAAAGAGTATAGTTTCAGATGCTGAATCATGAACTGTGGCTACACTCCTATATCTTAATTGGTTAATCAGGAGTCGGCTTTTGGGAATCAAATCTTAAGAAAAGGAACCGGCATCTTTGCATATTCATTCATGCTTTTCTTATTCTATACCAAGGAAATAATAGTCTTTTGTCTGGTCATTTTAATTTTCAGGCTTGTCACGATTCTTTTAGACCTGTGCCTTCAGTGCCAACACCTCCAAAGCAGCTACCACCAAGGAATGATGGTGTTGTTACTGACCAATCTAATGCTGGGGAGGCTCGTTCAGTGAACAAGGTGAAAAAGGAGGAGCAGGTGTTAGCTTTGCCCCCAGCAAGCCAGGTGCAGAAGCCTTCTGTTGCCATGACTGGGATTTCAATGGCTATGCCATATCATCACCAATCACAGGCCCCTGTACAGTTTGGTGGACCTAATCCACAGATTCAATCTCAGGGAATGCCACCAGCATCTCTTCAGATACCGATCCCTTTAGCAATGGGAAATGTTGCACAAGTACAACCGCAGGTTTTTTTTCCAAGTCTTCAAACTCTTCCTACTCATCCTCAGGGAATTATGCATCAAGGCCAAAACTTGAGTTTCCCTCCGCAAATGGGTCCTCAGATGTCCCATCAGTTGGGTAACATGGGTATGAACATCAACCCACAATATACCCAGCAGCAAGGTGGAAAATTTGCTGGTCCTCGCAAGGCTACTACTGTCAGGATTACTCATCCTGAGACACATGAAGAGCTCAGACTTGACAATGATAAAAAGTCAGATTCACATTCCGATGGCATGTCATCTGGTGCTAGGAATTATCCTAATGTTCCTTCTCAGTCTCAACCCGTTCAATCGTTTGCCACTTCTCATCCCCTCAACTATTTTCCATCTAGCACTTACAGCAGTGGCTCTCTCTTTTTTCCACCTAGTTCTGTTCCATTATCAAGCAGCCATATAACTCCTAATTCTCAGCAACCAAGATTTAATTATCCTGTGAATCAGGGCCCCCAAAATGGAGGTTTTAACAATCCATTATCTATTGGTTCCTTGCCTGTTAGTAAAACTGGCACTTTTGTTCCAGGCTTTGGTGAAACACCAAATTTGGAACATTCTCGTGATTCACAGAAGGTGATATCATCAGGTATGTCTGGAGTAGCTCATGCTAGTATCAAACCAAGTGGCAGTTCTGGTATCGTTGACTCAACAATCACCAATTCTGGCATTTCTGTTAAAACAAGTGAATCTCCCGGCTATTTAGGCGCATCGATTGATGCTGGCTCCACTGTGTCTCCAAAAGTGTCTGATAATTTTTCTGAGACCTCTTCACAGCAGTCTAAGCCGTCCAGTGATTCTTTTGTTTCAAGGTCATTGTCAAAACAACCTGCTGCTGGTTCTGCTGAGAAGCTTGCATCCACTCCCTTGATGCCTTTTTCTGCTGCTGTGAGTGAGAACTCTGTCTCAGTTGTGTCCAACAACGAAGGCAGAAAGAAGGAATCTCTTAGCAGGTCAAACTCTTTGAAAGATAATCAGAAGAAAACAGGGAAGAGAGGCCAATCACAACATCAGGTACTTGAATGCTTTAATAATCAATTTACCTATTTCTAATTTTATCTTTATTTACTTGAAATAGTGTATTTTCTTTTCGATTATTCCCACAGGTTACTTCACAATCTCCTACAGTGGTTAATGTACCTTCTCAAGCTGTTGATAGTGTTATGGTTGATCGTGAAGTTTCTGATACTTCGGAAAAAAAAACAAAGGCTTGTGTAGCAACAACCCGTGATGATAACTCTAACAGCACACCACAGGCATTATCAGCCACAGTTAGCAGTGATATTTTTCCTTGTGCCAATGAAATGAACATTGATCCTTCTTTGGAAGGTTCTGTCCGCATTTCAGCTGAAGGAGTTGGTGCTTTAGCTATTGATAGTTTGAACAACCACAGGAATGATAAACTAGAATCATCACAACAGGATAAACTTTTAAAGATGAATATACTTGAGGTGGGTGATAAAAATGAAAGATCCTGTGAAGTATTTAAACAAAAAAGCGATGACATTGGAACTAAGTTTAAACAAACAGAAACAGATGGGGCTAAGGAATCGCAAGTGCAACAAAGACTGGAATCGCAGGATGAATCTACGAATTTTAGATCAGAATGTGACATAAAGGGTGATAATTTAGGCGTGCCTACCTCAAATGATTTGGATTCTAGAGATATCTATTTAAATAGAAATGATAGTACGGTTAGTAATGAATCTATTTGTGCAAATTCTGCCTCGACTGATAAGAATTCTGGTGATCTCCCAGAAGCAACTTCAAAACATAGCAAGGATTGTTCAGAGAATGCAGACAGTGGCTCCGTATTCCTTCCAACATCAATTAGCAAGGACAGACCTATTTTGGAGCCAAATAAGGTGAAAACTACAACAAAAGGAAAGAAGAAAAGAAGGGAGATTCTTCAGAAAGCAGATGCTGCGGGGTCAACTGCTGATCTTTATAATGCATACAAGAGACCCGAGGAAAAGAAAGAAGTCATTGTATGTACAGAGAGCAAAGAAAGTACTTCATCTGGAAGTTTAAAGCAGTTGCCTAAAGAGGCTGCTCAGCCAGATGCTATTGCAACTGAGAAAGATGGGCATGATAAAGCTGAGCCTGCTGATTGGGAGGATGCTGCTGATATGTCTTCCCCAAAATTGGAAGTTGCGGAAAAAACACAACAGGTCAGTGATGGAAATGAACTAGCAGGTAAAAAATACTCAAGGGATTTCCTTATGAAATTTGAAGAGCAATGCATTGATCTTCCTGCGGATTTTAAAATAGAAGACATTCCTGAGGGTTTGATGAATTCTAATGTTACTGGTTCTCATTTTGAACGTGATTCACATCTTAGTCCAGGAAGAATTATGGATAGGTCTGGTGGGATGTCTCGAATGGACCGCCGTGGCTCCGGGCATTTTGAAGAAGACCGGTGGAATAAAGTTGCTGGACGTGACATGCGCATGGATGGTTTTGGTGGTAATACAGGATTTCGACATGGTCAAGGAGGCAATTTTGGTGTTTTAAGGAATCCACGTGCTCAGACACCTCTGCAATATGCTGGAGGGATCCTTTCTGGACCAATGCAATCCATGGGTAATCAGGGAATTATGCAAAAGAATAGCCCTGATGGTGAGAGATGGCAACGAGCAACTAACTACCAGCAGAGGGGTTTAATTCCTTCTCCTCAAACCCCACTGCAGATGATGCATAAAGCTGAAAAGAAGTATGAGGTTGGTAAGGTGACAGATGAGGAGCAAGCAAAGCAGAGGCAGTTGAAAGCCATTTTGAACAAGTTAACTCCTCAGAATTTTGAGAAACTTTTTGAGCAGGTAAAAGCAGTTAACATTGACAATGCCGGCACTCTTACTCGTGTAATCTCTCAAATATTTGAGAAAGCTCTAATGGAGCCTACCTTCTGTGAAATGTATGCCGATTTCTGTTTTCATCTAGCTGCCGAGTTGCCTGATTTCAGTGAAGACGAGGAAAAGATAACTTTTAAGAGATTATTGTTAAACAAGTGCCAAGAGGAATTTGAGAGGGGTGAAAGAGAGCAAGAAGAGGCTAATAAGGATGATGATGGTGAGGTGAAGCAATCCAATGAAGAGAGGGAAGAGAAACGAATTAAGGCAAGAAGACGCATGTTAGGTAATATACGATTGATTGGAGAGTTATATAAGAAAAAAATGTTGACGGAGAGGATAATGCATGAGTGCATCCAGAAGTTACTGGGATCATATCAGGACCCTGATGAGGAAGATATTGAAGCCTTGTGCAAGCTGATGAGTACTATAGGGGTGATAATTGATCATCCCAAAGCCAAGGAACACATTGATGCTTATTTTGAAAGGATGAAATTGTTATCAAACAACATGAATTTATCTTCTCGAGTTAGATTCATGTTGAAGGATGCTATTGATCTGAGAAAGAACAAATGGCAGCAGAAGCGGAAAGTTGAAGGTCCAAAGAAGATTGAAGAGGTGCACAGAGATGCTGCCCAAGAGAGGCAGGCCCAAACTGGTAGGGTAGGCCGTGGTCCAAGCAATACTGCATCATTGAGAAGGATGCCTATGGATTTTAGTCTGAGAGGGTCATCTATGTTGTCTCCACCCATCACCCCTATGGGGCTACGTGGGCTTTCTGCGCAAGTTCGCAGTGGTGGTTCTCAGGATGTTCGTCAAGATGATAGACTATCCTATGAGGCTAGAAATTTGTCCATTCCTTTGCCTCAAAGACCTTTAGCTGATGATTCTATAACCTTGGGACCACAAGGTGGTCTTGCAAGAGGAATGTCCTTTAGGGGGCCAGCTGCTATTCCAAGTTCTCCTGTTCCTGATGGGCTTCCAGTTGCTGCAGATTCTCGTAGAATGACGTCTGGCCCTAATGGTTATAGCAATTCATCGGAGCGTGCTCTGTACAGCAGCAGAGAGGATCAAACGCCAAGATATGCTACAGATAGATTTGCTAGTGCAACTGCTCATGACCAATCAGCTGTTCAGGAGCGTAATATCAGTTATGGTAATAGGGATCTGAGAAATGCAGATAGGAGTCTTGAGAGACCTGTTGCAACTTTACCTCCTGGTGTGCAAGGATCTGCAGTCTCCAAGAATGCCTCGTTAGAGAAGGTTTGGCCGGAAGAACAACTGCGGGACATGTCCATGGCAGCAATTAAAGAATACTACAGGTATCTTTTTCTTCTATCTATCTTTTTATGTTTTGTTGCTATTGCAATTAAAGAGTATTCACTCTGCTGTATGTTATTCCCCAGGAGAAGAGAAGCTTTCTAGCACTTCTTCTCATGGCATATTCTTGGTGACGAGGAATTGCCTATCTTCTGTGTCATTGCTTATATTTGATTCATAAAGTTTATCTTGAAATAGCTTTCCTTATAAATTATTAAACTTCATCTTATTACAATTGGAGATCAATATCGTGCAGGGAAATTATAATGATGTTTAGTGGGCAAAAATTAGTTCTAAGTTAATGACTACAATTGGAGATAAATATTTTGCAGGGGAATTATAATGATGTTTAGTTGGCAAAATTAGTTCTAAGTTAACTTATATTGTAACTTATTCCGGATGTGTTTTACATGGATCCATTGCTATTTCAATTGTTACATCTGCTGCTACAACTAGATGACTTTGACATCTGGCAAAATATTTTAATTGAACTGTGTTTTAAAATGTCCATATAGGTATAAAACTATCAGTAATGTGTTCTAGTTAAGAGAATGAGGACCTGACGTGGATGTCACAATTTATGTAGAAATCTTCCATTTCAGACAATGCTTGGGTTGTGAAAGCCAGTATTATATGATTCATATTCATATTTTGAACTATATAATTATGTCTGCTATACATTGATGTTTCCATCTGCAATAGTGCACGTCATAGAACCAAGAACCTGCTTAGTAGTGTTCTGCCTTTCATTTATAATTATTGTTGACTACTCTCTGTACTGGTTTTAGTTGGTTTGCTGGGACTTCTTACTTTCATTATTCTGAATAAGGTTGCAGAAGTTATGGCTGCTATGAAATGCAGATTTATTATGATTTTTCAACCTGTGTAACATCATTTAGATATTAGTTACAATTACAATTACAATGTTTGGACTTGTGCAAAAAAGGGACAAAATACAGGCGCATACTGCTGAGTGCTGACATGAAAAGCTAAACTTTTATAATTTCATGTTTTGCGTTGCTTTGTGATGTTGGTGCGTTTGGCATGTACGCACAAGTGCTTTTTGGTAGTGTTTGGATTTAGAGTTGTTATATGAAATGCAGAAGTTACAATTACAATGTTTGGACTTGTGCAAAAAAGGGACAAAATACAGGCGCATACTGCTGAGTGCTGACATGAAAAGCTAAACTTTTATAATTTCATGTTTTGCGTTTCTTTGTGATGTTGGTGCGTTTGGCATGTACGAACAAGTGCTTTTTGGTAGTGTTTGGATTTAGAGTTGTTATATGATCAAAATTCAAATTTCTGAGTGTTGTGGAGCTACATATTTTGTTTTCTTAGTCTGGTAATGTCAGTGATCAAGTTGTTTTCCATCCATCAAGTTTGTTGTATGTTTTTCTGATTGAATGCTTTGATTTCCAGTGCTAGAGATGTAAAAGAAGTTGCGCTGTGTGTGAAAGATCTAAACTCTCCGAGCTATCATCCTTCAATGATTTCTCAATGGGTCATAGACTCGTTTGAGAGAAAGGACACGGAAAGAGATCTTCTGGCCAAATTACTAGTGAGCCTTACAAAGTCTCAGGATGGCACCTTGAGTCAGTCTCAGCTTATCCAAGGGTGAGAATTAATTGAAAGTCTTCTGATCACGAGAGGAAAATTGTTATTGCCTAGAATCTCACCATGTTTATTTTTTTTTTCCCCTGCTAGGTTTGAATATGTTCTAAGTGGCCTGCAAGATGCCGTTAACGATGCCCCCAGAGCCCCAGAATTTCTAGGCCGAGTTTTTGCCAGAGTTGTGACAGAAAGCGTTGTTTCTTTGAAAGATATTGGTCGACTATTACACGAAGGCGGAGAGGAGCCAGGCCAACTCTTGGAAATTGGACTGGCAGCAGATGTTCTGGGAAGCACCTTGGAGGCAATACAAATGGAGAAAGGGGATGCAGTTCTGAGTGAGATCCGTTCAAACTCCAACTTGAGGCTGGAGACTTTCCGGCCACTCAATTCCAATGTATCAAGAAAGTTAGAAAAATATATTTAGAGTATAGTGATGCTCGTTGTATCTTTTGTTGTAGGTTTGAGGGGTGGGGAAATTATTTTTTGACTAGTATTACTAGTGTTTAAAAAATATGCAGAAATTATTCTCTCTTCTGGGGTGGTTGGGTAGCCATATTTTATATTACAATGATCTTTTCTTTGTTTTAATGGTAACATTCTCCAACATCTTCATTGCTATTACGAAAGGTTCAATTGGGCATCTTAAATCTTAGTCCGCTGAATCCTTTTAGATTTTATTTCTCATAATTGCCTTGTATGATTTAATCTGTACTTGAAAATATCTCTACTAGAAATTTGATTTTCAGAGATCACCATATGCATGTGTAATATGGCTTACACCAAGTTCAGCCCTGGTGAATGTGATTTTGTCATTGAGTAGTGTAGTTTCTCATATTTATTCCACACGAACAAAGCTGATGACTACTTAAAGATAGGATAAGAATTATATATTTACTCTGTTATACATATATAATATATATTTTTATTCAAACAAATCAAGAGAAGTGGATTTTAATGATATTAATAATAAGAGTTTGTTATAAAATAAATAATAAATAAAAGATTTATATTTTTTAATTTAATTGAAAACAAATATTTTAATTTTTTTTATAAAATGACAAATAGTTCTAATACATTGAAAAAAAGAAAAAGAAAAATAAAAAAATAAAGTGGAAAACTAAAAGAAGTGAAAGAAGAAAAGACAAGCGTTCGCTTGTAATGAGAATTGATTTCAAATTTTTTGTACAGACCACATTGGAGTTAGTGAAAAAATAAATGTCTTTTGGTATCACCGAGCTGGAAGTTCATTGAAGAAATAATTTGGCCAACACAGGAGGATGAGATTTTGCAAAGTTCCCTATGATCAACAGTAATGAATATAACCAAGAGCAAAGTAGATCAAAGGCGTTCTTAAAATGTTCCAAAGTAGAATCTTGATTTTGGGAGGCAACAAAGTTTTCCAAAATATCATCCAAGTAGCAGCAAGATTTTGAGAAGATGAAGCTTGAATAAGCCATGGATACCCATCCTCACCTGAGTAGTGTCCATGATGCTTCGTGGTATTGCTCAAATACTTTGCAACTCATGAATTGCTCAAATATTGATGTTTCTTATTTTAAATTACCCTATAATGCTTTGTGGTACTGGGAAGGCATCTACAAGGTTGCGAACATCATTGTAAAACATCTTCATTGGAATGTTAGCAATGAAAAAGCCATCTTTCTTACTCATATTCATTGGTGGAAAACTCATTCAGCCAAATCTTTTAAGGGATTATAACGTTCACAAAGTATTTGATTTCATTATTAAAAATCCCAACTCTTGGATTGCTTCTTGTTAGAATAGTTCTACTATCAAAGCTTTATATGATGAAGCAATTGTTTAGTCCATATTTAGCACTCTAATATCATTCATTGATGTAAATAATAAACTCATCTAGGGTTCAAGACATTATTCTACTCAAGAGGGTTTCATTAAGCTAGCGTTTGTCACAACAACTAAAGCTTATGCAAATGAATATATTTGGAATTTTCTTTGGAAATTGCACCTTCCTCAGAAGATTCTGGTTTTCGTTTGGAAGCTAATTTACATGGTTATTCCTAAAAGTGATGTTTTAAATACTCATCATTTGAGTTACTCTTTGCATTATGTTTTTGGTTGACACCCAAGAAATCATAAATCATCTCTTCTGTGAATGTCTATCATTAAAGTTATTTAGTTTGGAACTCTATCTATTAAATCTACATCCATTTCAAAGATTGGTCTCTCTCAACGGATTCTACAAGTTTCAAAAGTTGTTTCAAAACCAAGATATAAAGTTGTTGGTGAATATTTTCCTCTTCGTAAAATTTCACTATTCAGGAATCTTACCTTCATCAAAATAAAAAAAGAATAGCTGAATCTTTCATCCATGATTTTAAGTAAGAACTACTCTTCATTAGATCTAGTTGTAATTGGAAATATGCTAGTGGATTAGGTCTTTTAAGCCATCATATACAGAATACATAGTTTGCAAATGATAAGAGGATTGGAACATCATTGCATCACTTGCCATATGGGGAAATTCACTCATGTAAGTTAAAGAAAATGAAGAAATCTTATTGTTTAGTGAACCTTTCCTTGAATGGTAAAAAAATTTAGCATCTCATCTTTTATATATTTGATTTGATAGCACATGACATCTTCAATCTTCATGGCAGCTTGTCTTCGAAGTGTACTTTTTTGGATTTATAGCTTATGGCAAAGTCATTGGAATTCATGTATCCAGCTTGGTGACTTGGTGTTGAAGCTCAACAAAAGAAACTTATTTCCTCCTTTTGGTCAAAGTATTGTTTACCAAGGTATAAAACAGATGCTCCAGCAGTTTACTCATGTATCTTTTTAGAAGTGTAGTTATAGTTATACCAACTATAAATTGTCTTTCTACTTCTGCTTTTATTGTAAAGTTTTGAACTTTTGAATTTGTATTTCCATTTTATTTATTAATACAATTGCTCTTTTATCAAAGCAAAAATAGCAGCGTCCATAATAACTAAGTCCAAAATATTGAATCATTTTGATCACTAAGGAATAATGGTAATTGCAAAATCCGTTTAGCAATGTGAGAAGGATAAAGATGGTGGATTATATCATCATTCCATTTAACAAAAGCACCCTTTGAATCGAGGGTGACAGGTCTGATTGCTGTAAAGGCCTCTAAAGCCTGCTACCAAGTCGAATATCCTTACCATTACTCACATTTCAATGAAGATTTTGCAAAGCCTGATCGTTAAAATCTTTTAGAAAAGGCTTTTGCAATGCTTATTTTGGACCTTTTCCAGTATTTCTAAAGTGCTGGGAAAACCACCATTAAAAAAGAAAATGAAGTTTCTGAAAATGTTATGAAATTATTTGGCTTTTCTAGTTCTTATATAATAAAGTGCTTTTGCTTGCATTTATTCACCTGCTTTTTCTTCTAACAGTTTTACACAAATACAGTCTACTAAACTTGGTCCAGTCACCCCACACTCTTCACAAAAGTTTCTCCACTCACAAAGAGCTCTCCATTTATTGTATTAGAATCTTGATAAGAGGAGTTTAAAGGCCAGAATAAAGGTCAAGAACATAAGTATATGGAAATCTAGGTCAATCTCCTTGATTGAACTAGTAAACCGTTAAGCTGTCATCTTGATTAGTTTAATAAAATTCTGTTTATGACCATTTTAATCATGATTTGATTATGATTTTAATCATTAACTCTTAAACTATTATCTTGATTGATTTATGATTGGTCTGATTGTCAGTACTTTGGTTAGGGAAGAGATTTTGGATAATAACTTGATCAAGGATTCCTCAAGGACTTGCTAGGAGAAAGAAACAAGTAATTTGCCACAATTCCTTTTCTTTTCCTCACAATCTTATATAATGTTTGACATCTAGAAAAATGTTTTCTAGAAAGGAAATAAAATATCTCAATTTTTTAAGGTGTATTTCTCATTTTCTTTTTAGAAAATATTTTTTCGTGTATCAAACATGCAATTACTTTTGGTTTGGATGGAGAGAAAAATAAGAAGGAAAGACTACTGAGGAAAAACTCCCAAAAATAGTAATTTCTTTCTTTTTTTTATTTATGAGAGTTTTCCGTCTAGCATTCTCAACTCCTCATATTTTTCCTCCTATTTTTTTCCCCATCAATCCAAACTAGGCCTTGAGCAGTTAAGCTCACGAAAATATTTCTTCCCCATAATGTAATTCTTAAACGCACACTTAGCAACGAGAGGTAATTAAAATTGAAGGAAATGAAAGAAATAAAAAAAGTGGACAATCCTGTGTCATTTAATGTAGGTTTGTTTTTCAGGTTACATTTTCAAAAGTTCATTTGTAAAAAAAAAATTATTTATTAAATTGGATAAAAACACATTCAAAATGCAGTTTAGATAGACTTTTGAGGTAAATCCCAAACATGTCTTTAATCTCCCTTCACTCTCATCCTACTTTAGTTGATTGCCACATAGTCTATTTCCAATTTGCTCAAGGAAATGCTGCCACCTAATGCTTCTTCTCCCTTAAAATATCATTCAATGCCACCTGTTGCCATTTAACCAATTCTAATGTTTTTTTTTTTGAGCCATAACCAATTCTAATGTTAGATGACACATAATCCCACTAAATATTAAATTTATAATATTTAAACTATTATTATTTTGTTTTGTAAGTGGTAAGAAGAAAACGTGAAGTAGAGGAAAGGAATGCGGTGCTATCTTCTTAAAAATTCATCTTAATGTCTTTCTTTCTTTCTTAAGTTTACTTATTCTTTTCTTGGTCCATAATTTTGTCATCTAATTTTCCACAAATTTTTAACTTAACATAGCTATGGGTTATTGTTATAAGTTGAACAATTTAGTTAAACAAATTAAAGGTAAAGACAGTTGTTAGGAGTCCAATTAATGGAATTATTGGATATGCGTATGTGTGAATATAATTTAAATATTCATAAAAAATAATTTGAAATGTTACAAACATTACATTTTGGGATATTGTGTTAATTATTTTCCCGGATCTTATCTAAAAAACTTTCTGCTATTGAATCCCTCTTCAAGTTTTATTAAAGAGGTCATCAAATCTGGCTGTTCTTCAATATTTGTCGCTTGGATTGTGAGTTGAATGAATGAATCGTTTTTGTGGGGTGCTTAAATGATGTTTAGAGAGTAGAGTGAAGCTTTTTCATGGAGTTAAACTAAAATTAATCAATGAAAATGTTGAGAATCCAAATTTGTGATTTAGATCGAAGACAAATAGTTGGACATTGCCTTGTGGGATGAGTCTTGCTTGAAAACCTTTGAATAAATGTTGGGGGAGCATCATAAGGGTGCATTGGGTATATCTAGGCCGGTGAAAATTTCTAGCAAATAAAAAAGGTTAAAGTGCATTTTTATTCTTGAACTTTTTCTTAAAAAGCAATTTTACCTCTATACTGATAAATAAGATAATTTTGCTCATGAATTATTTTTTCGAGGAGCGTTAGGCACCCTATAGAAGAGGGAGTTTTTTGCTCCTAGAAAAAATATTCAAAGGCAAAATTGTCCACTTATCAATATAAGGGTAAAATTGTTCTTTCAGAAAAAGTTCAAAAATAAAAATGTATCTTAACCCAATAATAAATGCTGTAATGGTAAAATTGAATTTTAGAAGCTCCATCTCTTAACTTATGTCACGACATGGTTTGCAC